GCACCACAGAAAAAAGATGGATTTGATTGCCTCCAGAAAGCACAAAAAGCTCCCAACTGGAACTAATTAATGAAGGTGAAGGATTCCTGTTTTATCAGGTTCACTCATCAGCTTTTACTTTTAGATGTCTTTTTTAAAATTGGTAACTTTTAAGGCTTTTCACAGCTGTGCACCTCAGGGTAAACCTGTCTTATTAAAACTTTATACTTCAGCACAGACCCTTAGGTCATCTGACCAAATATTATTAGGGAATAGGCCTTTTCAAGCAGCTACACTTCAGCTGTAGATGGTGCCTCTTTTGTTTTATTAAATGTAGTGATTCCTTTTAAAAGTGAGAGAGATTATTTACACATGCACCAATGTTTTCTAACTTTTTTCTGTTTACTATAATGATTATCTGCTAGAATTTAAGATTAGGATTCTATTAGCGTGAACTCAACATACCGATTCGAATCTTCTTCCTTTCTGAAAACTATTATTGGTGATGAACAAGAAGAAAATTTGCCACAGCTAAACATTAGAATTTGAATCAAATAAAAAACAAACAAAAAACTAGTTAATCAGCAAGAGAGTAAAAATAACTGAATTACAAAAACAAAATAAAACTTTATTTGATTAACTGAAATACATTAATAAACAAAGTTCATTTAAAAGATTAAAAGGTATGAGCGCTTAGAAAGTAAAAGGCATTCAACTGTAAGGAAATCAAATAAATACCAAAGCAGAAGATGAAAAACAAATATATAAATATCCTATCTACACCCTGTGAGCTACTCACAGAAGACCTAACATATCAATTACATGTTGTTCCTTTCACCCCAAGTTATGCAACTTCAATCCTTTGCCTGGAAACAAGTAAATACAAACATTACTCCACATTATGCGCAGTTATATGGGGCTGATGTTTCTGCACCTGCTCACAGGCTGAGAAACCAGATCCTGCACTATCAGGTGTCCCAAAGGAGCCCCCAGCACACACACCCCCACCTGCCCATCAAATCGACCTGGCTGATCTAACAAAGACCCACTAAGCTCTGTGGATGGAGACAGAGAAGAGAAAGAGGAGGAGGAAGAACAAAAACTCTCTTATTTAGCTATATTAAAGGCTATTAACATGGGGAGGGTTGATTTGCATTGTAAGAAATTAAATAATTTCCTCGCATGGGTATGAATGGGTCTTATTAAAAACATATCAAACAGAAGGTGAGTTAAGCAATCAAACTAGGAAACGAGGACACGTCATGCAGAGCAGACTGAGGAGGTTAGTCTGAAGATTTTGTTTAAAGATGTGTGCATATTGCAAAGACTTCTGCTGCCCCGGCATCTTGGTCTTAAGCCGAAAAGTGTGATAAATAAGCCACAGCAGTTACAGCAAGCGTTGTTTTGGCTAAATGCAGAGGATTACTTTAATACAGAGATGATTAGAGAACTGTAGGAAGAGTTGGGCTACGGGCCCAGATCTCAGTCCGCATGGAGAAGCATAAAACTCCTCTTCATCTCCATACAGCATTCTGTAACAGTACTGAGTCATTCTTCATGTCTCTATGCTTTGCTTCAACGGAGGAAAACTTAACAGTATTCTAACGTCTTGTTAAAAATTTGATCTTCAGACCTTCTGTGGACTTCGGCTACTTTTTATTAGGTAATAAGTCCAGTGTCTGAAAATGACCAATCATCATCTAGGACTCTGCTTTAAAGCGCCTGTGTTCTGCCAATTGTTTTTTTTTTTTTTCTGCCCCATCAAGCTGTGACCTTATTCCACCCCATCTTTCTTCGTCCTTCATTCCACCACTAGCGTCGGGCCCCTGTTGGGGGGGACGTCTCTTCCACCACAAACTGAGCACCAAAGACTATATTTCTCATTTCAATAAAACTCTTTAATTGTTGCTTGTCTTCTTTGGGAATCTTTCCAGGTTGAACTTTTAGTTTAAATTCACCCAGCTCTTACCTCTAAATCACTATGTAAAAATAGCACCTGACCGAAGGGAAACAGTTTTTCGCACCACTGCACAATTTTTTACACATTTCAACTGCATCAAGATGAAAATCACCAAAGCTACTGGTTGACAAAGATTACTAGTATGTTATTAACTACACAACCAATGTTGCTTTTTCATGTGAGGCAAATATTTGTAAACTGGACAAAATAAAATGGATAAGATGGGTTTTCCCACAGCTGATATAATGGCCCTATGATAATGAATCTTATGTGTTTGATTCAGGATAATCTGGGTTGAAAGTAAAACCAATCTGGACAAGATCTGAGCTTCATCTGAGGTCTATAGATGAAACTTGAGTAAAAAAAAAGAAAGAAATATTCTGTGTTTCAAGTGTTTAACTGCTGAGGCTGCATGGACCTTACATGGGAGAAATAGTGAAAACAAAAACATCTAGAAATGAAACTAGATCCTAAAGAACTGCAAGGCAAAACCTCAATATATAATAGACGATGAGATAAATGATGACACATTTTACATTTCCTGTTTCAACTGAGTGGCATATTTTTTCAAGACTTGACCTTTGCATACTGCTTATCCAGTCTAATTAGCTCTTAAGGCTTAATACTTTTGTTCTTTATTTCTTTTGAACAAATTGGTGAAAATGATCCATATTTTACTGCACTGTCCTCTTTTACTCTGCAAGCTCTATTTAGCTTTAGACACACTTACTCTCACTTCTGTGCAACCATTCATTGTGGCTTAAAGTGAAAGATAGAAGCCATCTCTACAGACATATATTTATATTGATCTTTTGAGAAAATGCAGCTGGATATTTTATAGCAATCATTTTAAAGGACATGTATTAATCCATTCTGATTTATGATTCTCAAATAATGGAAGCTATAAAAAGGAGGGAAATACCTTTTTTGTAACTGATTTAATAGGAAATGCATTACCATAAAACCTCATTGTGAACTATAATTACAAAATATGTGAAGTTGGCTTATGAGTTTATTTACAAAAAATTAGGGAAAGGTTTCGTTTTAATTCTTGTAATATATTAAAGGAAGAAAAAAGAATGTAATTTTTCAGTAACTAGCCAGTTGATTATTAATCACAGCTGATCAAAATTATGTAAGCAAAGAAAAAATGACAAACATAGCCAAGAAGAGGTGTCTACCTACAAGTTTTTTAATTGAAGCAGTAAAAAAAAAAAAAAACACTGCATCAAACTCTTTTAAAATTCATATCTTTTTCACTGTTTATTTGTTTTTTCATCATTCTAAGCTTTGTGAAAAATGCAGCTTTTCTGCAGCCGAGACATATTTCTTGAAAAAGGTAAAGAGCTTAATGATGTCAGAAAGGTTCTAGGAATCTGTCAGGAAACTGACATATTCCTACTGCGTTAATGTGTAAGAAAATGAACTGCCAAACATATTCCTCCATCTGATGGGTCTAATAAGGTCTCCTGGAAATGTCAAACTCTCAGACCTTCAGAAAAGATTTCACCCAAGGTTGTATATGCAAAAGAAGCCACTTGAAAAATTGCCTAAAACATCTTATAAGAAGCAGAAAAATTAACCACTTCTTTTGAACTTGAGCGGTACAGCAATTTTCACTCTGATACTCACTAATGAAATGTTTTGCAATTGATTCCCATTAGAAAATACCTAATTGGAAAAGAGAGTTCACTATTCATGCTCAGTTTAAGTCTATCTGTTTTCCAGACGATTTCATTAGGGATGAACATTAATCAAGAAACAGAATCACAGAAGTACAGGAAATACAGTAGGTCATGGAAAATTGGATGATTAAAAGAAGGTGAAGCTATTACCAAGACTTAAAAAATAATGAATATGGCATAGCAGCAAAAGAGGGAACTCTCCATATACACTAAAAGGATCAGGTTCTAAAAGAACTATTTAGGGAAGATGTGAAAAGACAAAACTTAACTCAGAATCAATCAAAGTCTAAAGGAAGAGGAGGCTCAAAACCCCATAAAATAACCACTGATTATGTTTTTTTACGGCTCTGATAATCAATATAATTGTCTGCTATTAAATAAACTGGTAAATACAAAGCTTTATTTGAACATCATAAATAAATAAACCTAGAGAAGAGAACTGAATGCTCACTTAAATCAGAGTATTAATCAAACTGATTCACATTCACTTTGTTTTAGGATAAAAAAAAAAGTGGCAGTTTTATGGCCTGTAGTGTGTCTGTTTTACAACATCAGCTATGAGGCAATAAAATCGAGATAAGGATGGGAGAGGGAGAGTAGCAGGACCAGGCTAAAAGCAGTGATAAAGGGAGGAAAAAACTGGCAAAATACACAAGGGAAACAAACAGAGGAAACTAAATTCGGTAGAAGAAGGGGAGATAAAGATGATTGGAAAGTGGTGTTAAATGGAAACAGAAATGGGAGATGGGAGGACAAATTAGAGGGACAGATACAAAGATGGAAAGTAGATTGGAAAATGGTCAGAGCAAAAGAAGAGATTAAAAAACAGAAGGAGTAAGGAGAAAAGGGAAGTGGAGAAGCCGCACCTAAATATGCTCTGCAAGAAAAAGAAAAAAAAACCTAACTGAGCATATTCTCTTCACTTTCTGCTCCAAGCTCCTGGATCAGCCACCCAGAAACCCAACCAGTAACAGAAGACTTCTCCCAGTTTGATCCCGCTGGGATAAAAAAAAAAAAAAACGAAGAATGGGCTGCGTGGACAGGGCAGGCTGTGGAAAATTATTACACTAGAAGAGTGTCCATGTAGCCTATAAACGCCGGACTGAAAGAGAAAGAGCATGTCTGACGACTGCCTGCTGGATTATGCAAATACGAGTCAAATGTTTCACCCGGGCTGGCACCAGGTAAGACTTAGGTGCGGCTGGGGGCCACACACAGACTGAAACAGACTGCAGCTTCAGCCAGTCTCTAGGAGCCAATTCAACAGCAAAACAGGATCATTTCTAACCCCCATGCAGCTGGAGAGTAACCCCCACCCCCCGCAAATGGTCTCTGACACACACGATACAGAGGAAGAGAGAAAAGACACCGCTTACTTGTTAGAAACTGTTCCCACAGGAGCTGCGGTTAAAAAAGGGCTCCTCGGTGCGTGGAAATTCCAGGAGCCGCTGATTCCCCGTGGAGTAAAGAGAGCCGATCGAGCCACGGAGCGCCTGAGCCCGCTGGCTGTGTGACTGAGCGGCGGGCAGAGTGCTCCCTTCAGCACCACATTGGTTTGAACAGCTCCCGCTGACGTAACTTCATGGCTACGACTCCACGCCCACTTCTCCTAGCGACCACAGTGGCCACGCCTCCCGTGCTTAGCGAGGGAGGGTTCCAAACTTAAAACAAGCTTTAAGTCCTTTTTTTTACGAATTTATTGATTTCTTCAAGAATTGTGTTTATTTGCTATTATTGTAAATGTTTATCATTCTGGCATTTTATTCAGCTTTATTTCTCAGAATTTAACACTTATTTGTCTTGACTTGTAGTCAATTCTACATGTAATCTGTAATTGACTGAAAAGATAAGTAAAAAGATATAAAATTAGGCCAGATATTTTCTAAAGAAATGTTGATAGTTGAGTAATCATAAAACATAAATAGTTACAATATGTTAAGGTAAAAAAAATACTTTTAATGGTAGTTATACCTTCAACTTTTACGTAAATAACTCTTCTTATGAAGCATTACTATTTGACATATCTGGCTTCTCATCCACAGTTAATTAATTTTACTCAAGGAAAAACAAGCACTGTTTATCCAGAAATGCACTAGATAAAGACACACAGTTGATTTTACAGAAAGACTTTTTGTTTGTTCAAACTATGCCTTTTTCTGACTGCTAAACTACTCTGAGATTAAGTGAGAATACAGCAAATTGTTGATTGTCACTGAGAGGTCAGTTCTTGATTAGCCATTCTATTTATCTTTTTTTCCCTTTCTTAAATAATTTTCTTTTTTAATGGCTACTTTTAAGTTTTACATTATTAAGAAATGTATTAAAGTAGTGTGTTCTTGGTACATGGTTTTTACCCCCCTGCCTCTTCCAAAGCTGCACATCAAAAATACTAAAAACAAACAGAAAGCCTATAATTCAGTCTTACCCGACATTTTAGTGTTGTGATTTAGCAAACAGATTTATGCACATGAGGGAGGAAAAGAGTTAAGAATGCTAGCTGATGATGTGTTCATTATATATAAAGATAAATGGGTTTTTTATGTATGTGTCACAATCTAATCTGGAACTAATGAAACATCTGTCCAAAGTTCTCTTAGCTGTGTTAACTTAAGATATTGTAAGTATTTATATTCTATGATTTCTCGCGGTAACTGTATTGGCCAGAAAATTAAGCCTTGAATAACTTGACCTGAGACTGTCATTCTTTGACTTTGTAGTGCTTCAACATTTCTGGAAAGACTGTACACAAGGTTTAGGAGTTTGCTTCTTGGAATGTTTTACAATTAATCCAGAAGAGCATTGGTGAGGTCACACATTGATGTTGAATAAGAAGGCCTGGTTCTCAATCTCTCCTCTAATTCATCCCAAATGTGTTCTATCATGTCATGATCTGGCCTGTTTGCTCTCCCCTAATTAGTAATTCCTCTCACCTGCCCTCTTCCTTCCCAGCCTCAATTATAATTTATTCCCCTCACCTGTTTCCTCTGGTTTATACTCAGTTCAGCCTGAGCATTCAGTGCCAGATCATTGCTTGTCTTTCTGTCAGTCTTTCTGTTCAGTTTTTATTTGGTTCATGTCCTGGATCCTAGCTGCCAGTGGAAAGAGGGTTTTAGTGTTTGTCTCTTCTCCTGATTGTCCACTGTTCCTCCCCTGCGGAGTCCTCTGGGTTTTTGGCTCATTATGGGGGAGGTTCAGTTTTTATCAAAGTAAGCCTGGCTCCAGGAGGAGACCAGTTTAAAGTCTGCTTCAAGTTCTGGTTCCTACGTCCTGTCTCGGCTACCCTCTTCCACTGTGCCTGCCTGTCTGCACCTGATCCTGTCTGCTCCTGTGCGTGACCACCTGGTCATGCTTCTGGTCCCAGTCTGACTTTGAACCCTCCTGGAAGCCTGCGCATGTCTGGAAGTCTGGATCCTGCCACCTGTCTCTGTTCCTGCCTGATCTGGATACCTCACCAGGATCAGCTTCCAGCATCACCTCTGGGACTGCAGCACTGGGGACACTTGTGGTCTGGACTGTTAAACCAGGTAAGTGACCAACCCAGATAATCATATATCAGTTTATCGTGGTCACTTACCGGTGTTTCCTCCCCTAGAGTGTCTGAGATTGGGCGGTGCCCCGCCCCCCCCGCCTGCAGTGTCCGCGAGCCACAGCTCCGCTTTTGTTTTGTTTTTATTTTAATAAACCTTTTGAGCTTTCCTACTGACTGTCTCTCCTGAATACTGGGTCCATCTGTCTGCGATTCATGACATATCAGGTTGCGTCTGTGCAGGCTAGTCAAGTTTATACACAACACACTCTGCCATCTATGGTTTCAGCTCCCAAATGTTCCCACAATGTTAGGAGCATGGAAATGTCAAAATGTTTTGCTATGCTGAAGTACTCAGAGTTCCTTCCACTGTAACTAAAGGTCCGAGCCCTGCTCATGAGAAAAAAAATATAAAACAAAGCCACACCATAATTCCCTCTCCACCAAACTTTACACTTGGCAAAATGCAGCCAGACAAGTACAACTTTCCTTGCAACCACCAAACCCATCAGAATTCCAGATGGAGAGACACGATTCATCACTTCAGAGAACGAGTCTCTTCTGCTCTGGAGTCCAGAGCAGCAGAGACAGGAGGTGTACACACACATATACATATATACAGTCTTCACACTGTGGAATTTTGTGGTGCCACAAAACGTATGCTAATGGCCTAAGGGAAGTTACCAAATGGCCACTTTTCTCTTATGGAGTTGATGTATGTATCTTTTACCTGCTGGCTATAAACCAAACTGAAAAGATGATGCAGCAGAACATGTTCCCCTGCTGACATAACTCAATATATATAATGTAAACTTTAAAAGACTTTGCCCTGCAAAGAAATAGAATAACATCTGTAATGAGATGAAAAAGTGTTGTAAAACATCTACTTGGCTGCAAAATGATTAAAAAGAAGCAATGCTGCTTATTCTTTTTCAAACAGAACTGCACTTGCTTGATACCTACCTCAGCTGTATTAAAAAAGTCATTAGTTTGTCTTATTGATGATTATGTACCAGAAGATGTCAATTTCAACAGCTGATGGTGAGTCTGCATGGGTAGCAGGATAAAATATGGCTTATTTATGGTGATCCTGTGAAAAAAAACTACTTTGATAACATTGAGAGGGGGTTAGCAACTCACATAAAGAAATCAAATGTAATTTAGACAAAACATCACATCATGTTTAATAAGATTAAATAACATAATTATTAAAGATGTTTACTAACATTTATTAAGGAGTTGTTAGAAAAAACTTTTACTTTTCAAGTCTCCACATTTCCTTTATGGTGGTATAGGTTATAGGTTGTATTTCAAGCAGATGATGGAATTTTGCTCAGTTCTGCCACATTAATTAATTAAAATTCATACCTTTGGTTCTTATGCTAAAATTTCAGATGGATTTAAGCACAGGAATTTAGGCCAAATTTTTAAGGTACTGAATCACCTCTAAATAGAATCATGCCTAAAGTCTGAGATTTCTTTTATACTTTGTGCGTTTTTTTGAAACAAAAAACAAAGAAAAAAACTATACAGTTTTAAAAATTATACACCATGGATCAAACCTCCATCGTCCCACCTTTCCCAGCTGATCAGGTGACTCCTTACGTGTGGTTAACCAATGACAGCAGTGTGAGTGTCTGTCTTTAATCACCAAGTGTTGCACAATGCTTAACTAATACGGAATACCAACACTTTCTTATGATTACCAGTCCTCGTGCTGTTGCAGTTGTGTGTTGAGGAATTATCTGACCTTATGCATGTGTTTATAAAAGCCAAGGTGCTAATAATGATAAGCTAAGCGGATGCTCATTGACATTATAGATATATATATGTGTGTGTGTGTGGGTGGGTGGGTTGTGTGTGTGTGGGTGTGGGTGTGTGTGTGTGTAGAGACAGCCTTATCATGGATATCCGATTGTTTTTCGTAAAAAGCAGAATACTCACAGAACTGCTCTTTTAGTGACCTGATATTCTTCCACTCAAATTACCACACTATAAATTTGTGTACACCTCCTGGCTTATTCTTTGTGCTGTTTCTCTAAAGGCATGAACATGTGGCCACAGAGAAGTGAGCAGCCTAAAGCTGCTGTCTGTGCTGTGTTTCCACTCCAGCAACAGTAAGTGCAGAGGTGTGAGACTCCTTGACTCTAGGAGGTGGCAGCTGTCTTTTCACTTCCTATGGGGCAGCACTTCATAGACCCTTTTAACAGGTTTTCTTGTTGTAGACACCTTAACACAAATGCAAGTTTGGGACAGGTTACATATATTAGTAATTTTTCTTTTAATGGAATTGAAAAGTAGGGGAATTTTTTTGAAATTATGATCTTCTCTCCATCCCTTCATAGTTTTTTGTCAGCCTGGCTGGCCCATTATCAGATGAGCTTTTATCTTGGTTTTGATTATCTTTTATGCTCTGCTTTTCTCACTATAGTTTTTTAGCTTTTGTTATCTTGTATTTTCTAATGTCCTACTGTGTTTTTGTTATAACTACTTCAATCTTCAGAAATCTCCTGTTTATTGTTGTGCTCATCCCTGTGTTTTTCTGCTCTTTTCATTTTCACTTCTCTATAGTTTTTATTTACTTCTCCCCCAGGAATCCTCCATTGAGGTTGTGGCCATGTTCCTCTAACAGCTTTCTCATCCAGGACTCCTTCAGTGTTTATCCATTTGGTTTGTGTTAAGTTACTGTAAAATTCCAGGTGTTATCCATCTCTCTTTGCCCTAGTTGGTAACTTGTTTTATTTTGATTTGCAGAGCTTTGAGTCATGGAATTTATTTAGTTATTCAAATAAAATAATACAATTTAAGCATGTGTTTATGCATTTCCCATCTGTTTTTGGGTCATTCTAAATGGTGAACAACAGTATAAGGAATAACATATTCCTTCTGGCTTTCTCTCAAGCTTACAAATTCACACAGGGAAAACATACTTTAATTATAAATATATTTTAAAGAATAAATATATTCATTTTATAAAAATTATTACAGTCCTCTCATGACTTATAGAAGAAGGACCCAGTACTCAAGGTAAGACAGACAGTGGGAT